GTTATCTACTAGTCTCAAACCGCTAAATAAAAATTTTACCAAACACTTTATTTATAGCGGTTTCGAAATATATAAATTTATCAAACACCTATAGTTAGTGGTTTAGGTAAAACTGCTAACCGCTACCTCAAAACTGTTATACCAAACGGGCTCTAAATCAAATTAATGGCCTTTTGTACTCAATTGAGAAAAATTGTAAATGAAAGTTCTATCCTGCAGGGACCCAATTGTGACAAGGAAGGAAGTTGAAGACTGAAAAGATAGGTGGACGAAATTTGTGGATTAAAGCATAAATCCAACCCCTTCAAATATGTTGCGTTTCACTCAAGCATAGGAAAAAATCGAGGTCATCTTCCGCCTAGCCCGACCCCACCGTTAATGCCGTGCGCTGCCATGGCAAAGTTCTTCATGGCTTAACCCCTTAATCTGATGATCAGCCCAGCCTTAATCAAAGACGAAGTTTCGCAGAAGGTACCCTAGCCAAGGCTTGTGTGGGATTCGGGTATAAAAGGTAAACACTTTAGGGTTTTGGGGGGCCTCTGAGATCTTGGATCTGAGATTTTTGGGGGAAAAAAGCAGGCTAGAAGATTGATACTATGAAGTTAAGGAAAAAAGTAGGAAAATGTTTACTTGATAATTTCTCTTCTTAATTACTATTTCCATTGTTATTTATAAGTTCATGTTACTGATGCCATACGAGTTGATATCTGTAACAAAGTCAATGTTGACGACACTTGGCTTGCCTTAATTATCTAAAATTAAAGAAAGCAGCAATCAATACACAATGTGCATGGAGAGTAAAAGTTGCACGTAGAGACTACGAAAGCTAAAAATGGTGTTATCTTCTTTCTTTATATCTTTACTCTTCTCTCAACATTCTTTACTGGGTGCTAGGATACCATGGTACCTGGGTTATTTAATCTTAATTTTTAATTATTTTGTGAAATAAAATTTGATTGTTTTATAATGATTATATTCATGATTTCCCAAAGTTAATTCTTCATGAAATGCTACGGGCTGCAAAGGAAGCAACTGCTCTCCAAGAAGACAAAATCAAGTTGGAAAAGGAAGTTGAAGAGCTCACTTTCCACCTACAGCTTGAGAAACAAATGAGGGTAGATTCTTTTTTTATAGATATTCTCTTGCAAATAAATTTTCTGCTTATAAGCTATATGTTGTTAAAAGATGCCATTTCTCTCTATTTAGGCTCATGCAGAAGCTATCTTCTTCTTCTTTTTTCTTTCTTTCTTGCATTCGTTTTCTTCTCTTTCTTTCTTCGTTTTTTTTTTTTTTTTTTTTGGATAGACCTTTTTTTTTACCTGCCTAACTTCTTGGTCTGGGAAACATTATTAGAAAGAATAACAAAGAAACATGAGACACTAATCTATGATGTTCTTATTTCTCTAGAATCTGTAAACTGCATGGCTATTTAGGAAATTTGGTATTGTTGTTTCTAAAGGTATGCAACAATTGATGTAGTCTGATCTTGAGAAAGAGATGTAGCTACAATCACAGGAAAATGTAAAGTTAAAGTCTGCCTTGAAGAGATACAGCTCCAGTTCCAGGAAACAAGGGCATTGCTAATCAAGCAACATGAGGTTGCAAAGAATGTGGCCGAGCATGTTGCTGTCAATGAAAGTGAGGCTGCTAAGAAAGTGGCTGAGCGCGCAGTCTGTCACTCAGGAGGTCCCTATTTTTGATAATGAGTTAATGGCTAAACTCAAAGCAGAAAATCAAGAATTAAAGGTTTGACTATGACTTTTGTTGCTTCTCATACTGGCCTGTTAATCTAATAATGATTTGGCTAAACACAAAGCAGAAAATCATATAATGATAGGCATTTCTAATCTAAAGCTAGTATGATTTTCATGCCTAACATGAATGTTTTGGGTTAGGATTTTTCTTAATATGATTTACCTTGTTAATTCATCATGTTTTGGAGCCCTTTGTGTTCTGCTCTTGAAGGTTAATGGGGTTATGTACGCCATATGGATCCTATTTTGTTAGTATGTTTTGTTCTGTACATTGTTATGCTTTTTATATCTACTAAGTTGTTCTGCCTGAACTACATAAAAATGTTTTATTTTAATCTTATATTTAATTGAATGTCTTTTTTATATTAGATCCTCTTGTTTACTCTCTAGTCAAATATTGTATTTTTTTATTTCTATCATCCATGCTTTTACCCCGCCTTGTAGGGTTAATTTAATGTTATTGCTCTTAATTAGTTTGAGTGTGTGGTAATTAAAAGGTTTCTCATTTTCCATGAAAAAGATAGAAAAGTTTTCCATTGCCCTATGAAAGTACCCTAATTCTAGATGCAAGCTCTAGAACCTTCGGCATTTATATAAATATTGTACATAGTAATACTAAATTTCATCCAAATGTTTTACCAACATTAATGGTGCTTGTTAAGTTTTTTTCTTTCTAATGCCTTTACCTTCTTTTCTCAATGCTCTTATGCCTTTGTTTAAGGAAAAAAAAGAAAAAAGGCTTAGAGTCCTGACTCATATATTTTGTGTGGTGTAGTAGAGGAAAGCTGTTCTCACATATATTTTGATTGTTACTCAGTAAGTTTGGGATTCATAACTAGTAGTTGGGAAGTTGACTGGAGGAGGCTTAGGAGAATTTGTGGATTGAGGAACAACAAAACTAGGAATCTACGCAAGGTGCTAATCATGACTGTATAACCGATGTCAGAATCTGACGGTGACAATTCTGGGTTCCAATCTTTTACGGAATCCCGCTCAAGTGAAAAGGAGTTCAAAGACCAAAATACCCCAAATGACTTAGCAAAAACCCACACCAGCCCAATTCAATGAAGAGCTCTTTGCATCAAAATTCTGCAAATTAAAGGAACGTGATTTGGGGCATCATTTGCCTTAGATCCTTGCTGTCTCCACCACCTGTATTTTTTTTTATCAATAAAGATTGTCACATTTAGTACTCGTGGGCTTGGGAACAGCATCAAGCGAAAAGAGTTAAAGGAGTATGGTTCAACGAGAGCATGTAAATTTCTTGATGATTCAAGAATTGAAAGTTGAAGCTAAATTTGGGGTTAGGATTGTGTTGAGTGGTGTGCAAAAAGTTCGAATGGAAGAGATGGTGGTCTCCTATGCCTATGGGACCCTAACATATTTGAAAGGACTGAGGTGTTTGAAGGCAATGGCCTCTTGGGTGTTGAGGGATTGTGGGGGAAAAACAAACCAAAATGCTGCTTTTTGAATGTATATGGTCCTTGTAATGTGGCTGGTCGTGCAAAACTGTAGGAAGATTTATCCAGATTGATTGAAGCTCGAAATTGTTTCTTCTATATTGGTGGTGATTTCAACTGTGTCAGGGGATCGCATGAAATAAAAGGTAAAATAACTTCTCAACTTGACTCTGGAAATTTCAATCTATTTATTAAATCAAACTGTCTTGTAGATTTATCCCTTTCAAACAGGAAATTTTCCTGGTATAAGAGCAATGGGTCTACTCAAAGTAGATTGGATAGATTTCTTCTTTCAGAAAATTATCTGGAATTCTGAAGCAATTGTGTTCAACTAGCATTATAAAAAATTAACGATTAATTTTGGGAGAAGAAGAGGAAGGGTTCACATGGAGGGAGCCCTTGTCCATCAATAGTTATAATTGTATAATATGTATCAAGTTAGACTACACAACACTTTTCTGTGGAGAATTATACATCTCATTACATAAAGAAAACCAATACAAAAAATAAATATAAACTTCTCAAAGTCAACCATTAAAATGCTCATACTTAGCTCAATCTAGTCCCAAGTCCATTATTATCTAGTTCGAGCTTGTGTAATAAATAAACCTAAAATGAAAATCATTTTAAACAAGCTTAAACTAAGTTGAGCTTGATTTTAAACAAACCACAACCATCTCAACTCGTATACAAACACAATTTCCATGTTAGAATGATTGTCTTTTAGCTAATCCTTTCCAAACATTTCATAAACTCTAGAAGGTTGATAAAATAAAGAGCACATGCCATAGGGAAAAAAAATTAAAAGGTACACAGAATTACAGATAAACATGGGAATACTCCCAATTACATAACATCTCAAAGATCATAAACTTGTTTCCCAGTGAACTTAACTTCAATGGGATTAACATTCTTCCCAATTGATCTGAAATTCTGCCCAACTCCTTGACGACCAGGATTCACCTTCTCAGGGTAAACCCCATCTTTGGGATGAAGGTACTGAACTTCTCCATTGGGGAACACTCTGTAGAACTGGTACTTGATCTTGTACTTGGACCTCAACCGAGTCCCGAGTGCCAAGCACTGTTCCTTCCTAGCCAGCTTCAGCAGGTTAGGTCCTTGCCTCATGATGGCTGCACCCCCGGTGGGCATCTCGAAGATCTGTTCCTTGGGGGATTCCCATGTGATGACATAGAATTCCTCCACTTGAGCCTTCCTCAGCAGTCCTCCGGTGCTTCCTCCGAAGATGGGTGATGGGGTGCTGGGGTCTAGTTCTGGAGGGGTAAAGCCCACTGGAGCTTCCTTTGCCGCGGTTTTCTCCTCTGCAGCTGCAGCTCTGACGTTTCTAGAGAAGGACAAGGACTTGGTGGTGGTGAAGGAAATTGAGGAGGATGGCTTCCATGGTATCAGAGGGAGATTCCCGGATTTTGGGACGGAGATTGCTGGGGTGAAGAGGGCTGCAGCTTGTGTTGCCATGGTGGCCTTAGACAATAATGTTATGGTGGATGTGGATAAGTTGATTTTTGGGGAGGGATATAGGGAAGATGAAGATTTGTGTGATGGAAAAGAGGGGGATTTCGGATGGGTGGTGTTGTTTGGGTCTGGATCTTTGGATAAGATGATGCTTGCTTGGACCAATAGTATGTTTGATTTTGATACCTGGTCTTACCCATGCCTTTATCCTTGCCGCTCTTCCTTTTTCCTCTTTTTTATTATTATTATTATTAAAAGAAAAAGAGGAGAAGAAAAAGAAAGGCGATTTGTTTATCATATTTGTTCAAACGATCAGCATCCAGCATTTCATCAGAGAATTGGAAGATATCACAGAAAGAAACCTCTAACTAATAACAAAACATACAAATTGTCAAAATTATAAACGGTTAAGAGCCTGGCTTATGATCCATCCCCAAGACATTCAACAAACACAATGTTACAATTAATCATGTAAAAGAAACCTAGCTTTCCCAGGGAGCAGACATTAGCCTAAGCCTCTCCTCTGAGGGCTGATTGCTCCCAGGAACTCTCTCTTCTGCTAGCAGTGACTGCAAATCGCTACCGTTTGCCAAGCTGTTGAACTCAACTGCTTTGGATGGGACTGTTGGATAACGACGTTGGGAAAAGGTCATTAACCTTTTGATTGATTGCAAGTACTTACGAGTTGTTTCATCATTCATAATGTGGGCAACACTGTTGGTGTAGATCTTCTCACGAGCTGAACGTTCATGGATACCAACCATAGTGACACCAATTGGCCAGGGTGCATTACCAATGGCCAACTTAATGTAATGGTCCATCGCAGCAAGATAGTCTCGCTTCATGCAGCATTCAACCACCAAAAGTAATGCTTGACGAATATCATCAGGAAGAACCTGTGTGTGGAACATAACATATATTAGAATCATCATGTTTTCCAGGATTTAATTTTCTAAATGCATATGTATACATGACATGAAATCAGACACATAAAACCAGTCAGAATTGTATATCAATGCCTATCATAATTTCATAAAGGATTCCAAGGAGAAATTCCACATTACAAAAAACTAAAAGGAATGCCTTCACTATGTTTTACTTCAATCAGAGGGAGGAATAAAGGACTGTTGTTGGCATTAAGAAAAGCCAAGCATAATGCATTGCTTGCTAGTATAAAAACCCAGCAAAATTTCATGCACTATTGTTCGCCAAGAATATAGGCTGCCACACTTCCTGCCTCGTTCACACAGTAATATATTAGGAAGAAATAAACAATTAAAACCAATGGTTGCCTATCCAGTCTTTTGCATATCTACGTGTGTAGCCACACAACAGAAGATAGTTTACTCCTTCCAGTTCCAATAAACTAAAAAAGTAAATCCAAGGGGTTTGAAACAAAGAAAGAAATAACCATACAAGCAAAGCTTAACATGAAACCATAAGGGAATCTAATACTCCACACATTAGAACAATTAACAATGTTATGCATCCATAATCTCTCTCCTCCTATAGGATCCTTATTTTCCTTCCATAGCCTACATACACATTCTAAATGCTTTGTTATTAGTTTTTAGAATGGCTTTTAAAACTCCATTTAATCACATATCCGCACCTATGACATGATAATGAACTTCCTCAAGCTTAAGTTACTAGATTTATAACCATCATTTGCACTTCCCCAAAACTGAAGTTGCTATAAGTTTTGAGAACTGCTTTTAAACCACCATTTCAATCACATGTCCGCACATATGACATGATAATGAACTTCCTCAAGCTTAAGTTACTAGATTTATAACCATCATTTGGATTTCACCTAACAATACAATGAAATGAATATTACAATACAATAGACTAAGGATACTGCATTGCCAAGTTCCCAAATTTATATGCTCCAACACAAAACTATCTGGAATCTTCCCCCTCACCGAGCCTCTAGATACAGAAGACAGAAAATCTCACAGAAAATCTCACAACCTTAACAGAAACTATCCACTTCTAGATATGAAGTCTAGACTTCCCAATCTTGATTATTGTTTCATTATGTAACCCTTGGCAATTCCATTCACTTTTGAAAAGAAAAGTCTGACTCTTGCACCTGCTAAAAGACTATTTGTCACTAATGCTACAATCTAACAATTAACCTGCAGAACTTTATTTTCAGATACAGAACTTGAATTAACTTAAATATAGACCAAGACAGTACAACATCAAAATAATGCATTTACTTGAAATCGAAAAGGAAAACTCACCTTTTTCCTACAAAACTTGAACAATGGATTCAAATATCGAGCACACTGCTTAAATGTGGCGACCATGGACTTCCCTTTAGCCGTCCTCTTCTCAGCCTCCGGCATCTCATCCAGCTCCTGTTTCCATTCATTCAACAACCTCTTGAAAAACACCAAAATCTTATCTTCATCACATAACTCATCGAAATTTGCCTTCATCCTTTTTAAATCCTTATCCATATCGACGCCACTCGACCCACCATCACCACTCAATTCCTCCTCCCCTCCAGCTCCCTCGCCATCCTCTCCTCCACCTTCTTCCCTATCCTTCCTCTTCCTGTCGCTTAGCATCCCCGTCTTCTGCCGCTTTCTCAGCTCTACAATATCTCTCAAGAAATCATTGGTCTGACCTTCCGTTATATCACTATCAACCTCAAAAAGCCCGGTTTTCAAGACATATTTCAATCTATCGAGACGAGCAGCATCGTCTTCACCAAAGAGCGTAATGGGTTGTTTCAGGAATCGGAGACGGCGGATAACTTCTTGCTTCGGGAGGTCTAGGTTGTCAATATTCTGCTCGTCGAGAAGGGATTTGCTCCCGGTGGTGGTTGAAGAGGTGGTCGTGGCAGCGGCGGTACAGGTAGAGGCGTTTGATTTGCTGGATGGAGTAGCATTTGAGGATGAATTTCCGGATTGGCGGAGAGATTTGGCTTCGAGTTCGCGTTTCTCTTGCTCCCGAAGCTGTTGGATTCGTTTCTGTTCGATTTCGGAGCGCTTGAATACGCGTTTGCCGCCGGTTTCAGCGGCCAGGCTCTGGCGCTTCTTCAGAAGTTCTTCTTTCAGGAGATCCATTGACGGTTCGGACACTGGTTTCCCTAGGGCTTGATCTTAGCCTAAGCAGGGAGGAAGACGATGATCGGGTTTCGGGTGGATCCACAGAATCGAACGGCTTCTAGTTTCGGGTTTTCACGTACGGACGTGGGTTTTGTGCTTTGGAGCAATTATGGAGCCGGAACGCAACCTTGTAGGTCGATCGGTCGGTCCAGAGGGAAAACCAATCCATTTTTGTCGCGGTTTACGAAAAACCTTCTAGGCAAATGCGAAAATTGCCTTCAAATTTGTTATATTAAAATAAATTACTATTTAAAAATATAGTAATATAATTTATCACTTTAAATTTTTATTTTTATGAAATTGATTTAAATTTAACTATTTCTATTAAACTCCATTAAACTATTACTTTTGAAAGCCTAATGAAAATGTAATGACAATGGTTAAATTTAAGGTTGAAAATAAAAATTTATGATAGTAAATTATATTGATAATTTATTTAAATAGTGATTTGTTTCAACACAACAATTTTAATAGAGAATCTGCGCATTTTGCCAAACCCTTTCTGTTACAATAAAAAACTACAATTTTGTATTTTATAACAAAAAAATATTTTATAATCTAACAAGCACCGTATAGAATATATGTACGAAGATCATATATATATATATATATATACAATACATGTTAGAGTATGTGCGGTTGGCTGTATTAGCTATTTATTGGTCAGCTCAAATTGGTAAGAGAGTTACCAGCCCATGGTAAGCTAACTGTCCTTGTTATTCATGGTAAATTAGGAATAACAAATGCTAACAACGCCGATCAAAAAAAAAAAAAAACAAATGCTAACAACCTTAAGCAATGGAAAGAATACAAATTTTCTCATTAATCTTTTAGTTTAATAAAAAATTATGTTCAAGAAATATATTTATTAGTTGTACTATAAAGAATTAAGCAAAAAATATTATAAAATTACATTATTTTATTAGTATTTATTAAAGAATAATAAATATTTGTTTTTAAAACATGAATGAAATTGTTTTAGTTTTTCTTATCTAGTAATATATTAAAATGACATAATTTTAAATTTTTTTTACTTAATTTTTTTTATAGATTTAGTTTATAAACACTAATTTCATTGAAAATGATGAGACTTAACTATTTCTTAAATAAAATATTAAATATTTCCTTAAGAATTTTTACTTTTGGTTAGGCTTTTTTTCCTCTAAAAAATAATTGTATTGAGGTGTTCCATTTAGATAAATATTCGATAAAATCAAAATTATATCAAATTACTCAAAACTAACCATTATCATGTGAGGTAGGCTCCTGATACAAGAATGAATCCAACCCAATTTAACAATTTTAGTTTGCACTTTGCACGCTAGTGAAATCTAGAATACAAGTTGCGAACTCTTTATCTATAACAAAAATAAACATGGTGTGTATGGCCTGCGTGTGAGTACTTCACCCACGCCCCAAGGTTTAACTCCCTTGTAACCCCATTCTTCTACGGCAAAACCTACTTTTAACCCTAACTTTAATAAATTTGTAAATTTTAACTACTCACTTTATATATAACACTTTTAATCCCTTATCTATACGAATTGAAAAAAATAATCTTCATTTAACATAAGGTTATAATGTTTTGTTAGTGGATTGTTAACTATATTAACTAATTGTTAATATCCGTTAATATTTAATTATAGAAAACATGAAATAGAAAATATGAAATTTAAATTCTATTTTATTTGTTAATTCAATTAACAGAATACTAATAGTCAGTTAACAGTCAGTTAACAAAATTAATAGAACGTTATAACATGACCTTAAGTAAGAGTTATTTTCTTCAATTTATATAGGTTAGAGGCTAAAAGTGTCATAGTATAAGGTATGGGGTTAAAAACTACAAATTTATTAAAGTAAAGGGTTAAAAGTGTCATAATATAAGGTAAGTGGTTAGAATCTATAAATTTATTAAGTTAAAAGATTAAAAATAGGTTTTAGCCATTCTTCTCCCTCCAATAGCCCTAATGTTCCGTAGTTCAAAACAAACATATTTTTTTTAGCCTAAATTGCATGAGCTATAAAACTACTTAAATTTAGATTCTTCTTTTTAGCCTTCATTGAGTGTTGCAAAATTCTTAATTAGTCCCTTACCCACTTTTTTGTCTAATTTGATAATAGTTGATTAAGATTAATTACTTTTACTTAGATTTACAACATAATGATGTTATAATTCAAAAGTAGTTCGAAAAACTTCCTTAGATGATCCTAGCAAGCTTATTTGTTAGAATTGTAGAAAGTACAATGATGGCGCGTGCCCTCATCCGTTGGAGCTTCGAAGGTGATTTGCAAAGCATACTCAACCCAAATGCCAAAGGTTGAAGAAGGGTCACAACAGTTAAACAAAACAATGCATTTTGACCTTTTTTTTTTTGGCAATGTAGTCCTTTAAATTTTGTAAAATATATAGTACAGTCCTTAAAATCTCAAAATTGTGCAAATTTTTGTTTTTCTTTTTCTTTTTCTGAAATAAAAATTTTAAAAAGTTCAAATCGCCCAATCTCAACTAATTGTACCTAGGGGTGCCAGATGATGGGTCACCGTGCAGTCATCGCCAACTGACTTCTGCGACCCTGCCTTCATTTAAAAAAATTAAAAATTTTCTGGTGCATTTTAAACTCAAATTATATTCTTTTTTGAGTAGTTTGAAAAAAAAAATAGAAAAGAAAAAAGAAAAATCATTTTTATAATTTTTCTTGAGTGGGTCAAGGTCAATTCAAGATCCCATATCCAAGTCCATACCATCCTAGAAAGTAGAAACGGACAGTATAGGAGGCCTAATCAAGCAAGGCCCGATTTGAATATCCAGCCCACTTGTTCTCTTTCCTGCACTAGCGGACATTCTTGATTCTTCCCCCGGTGTCTGGTCCTCAAGCTTCCGGCGAGAAGAGAAAGCTCAGCCTCTGAGACATGACGACGATACGCAGATTCTGCTGCAACGACCTCCTCCGTTTCGCTTCCGTCAATCTTGATCACTTGACGGAAACCGTAAGCTCAACTCTCTTTTCCCTTCTCTGATTAATTAATCAAATAAAGATTCTATTTTTGCGTTTTGTATTTTTGTTGATTACTGCAATTGGAATGATTCACAGTTCAACATGTCATTCTACATGACCTATCTGGCGAGATGGCCGGACTATTTCCATGTCGCGGAGGCACCAGGGAACCGTATCATGGGTTACAGTAAGCTCTCTCAATTTGATACTTTTCCCATTTCGCATCTTCTTAGTTTTGGTATTTTTCTGAAGTTATAAGCTTGCAATACTTTGTTTCTGGATTGAAATTGCATTGCTTGATTCTGTATCTGGGTTCTTGTAGTTTGCTCAAAATATTTTAGTTTGATTAAGAGGGGGAGGTCTAAAGTGTTATATGTGGGTATGAATTATGGTTTCTTTGGATTTTGGCTTTTTTTTTTTTCTGGGTTGGTGCTAGTAATTAAAGAAAGTTAAAGAAATAAATTCTGCTTTGAAATGGGTGTTGAGGCTAAGCCTCTTCCCAACTTTGCTAGAGACTAGAGAACTATAATTTGTTTTTTTAGGCAACTGAAGGATTGTTTAATAAGAGCTAGCTAATGAAGAATGGATGGTAGTGTTACGAGGAGGTTTTTATCATCTTATTTCAATTGCTAACAAGGGAAAGGGGAACAGGGAGAAGAAAGCAAAAATGAAAAATCTTGCCTTGGCCTAATCATGAATTTTTAAACTTGACCATGTGGTGCTGTCAGGGCTGAAGTTCTGAGATAGTAGGTTTCCCTCTTGCAACTATGAACATTATAAACAACTACTGTCTACAGACTACTGTTATTTTTGCAATAAAATTTTGGTTCTTTTTAGCTTCTCAACTGTATGACCTTCAAAAATTTCATTGTTTGCAGTGGCAATGTTGATGTTGCAACTGCATGATTCTTGTTATCTATTTCATCCCACTCACTTCCTCATGAAAAAATGCAAATCTTGGTTGTCTGATTGTAGTAGCTCTTGGAAGTGCTATAGGCCATCCTGATCTAACGCTATTGTGCTTGCAGTTATGGGAAAAGTTGAAGGACAAGGTGAGTCTTGGCATGGTCATGTAACTGCAGTAACTGTTGCTCCAGAATATCGTAGGCAGCAACTGGCCAAGAAACTGATGAACCTGCTTGAAGACAACAGTGATAAGATGTAAGAGAGGCTAACACTAAGTAAATTTAAATGTTCTTCCTTTTATTATTATGTTTTTTTACGAATTACCATTAAAATTTGAGCAAAGTATGTGTTAACCATGGAAATTTTATCAATTTATTTCTTTTTGTCTTCATGTAAAGTTTCCCTTTTGGTTGCATACATTTTATATGTAATTGACAGTGGACCTAACTGATATTTTTGCTGCTTTGTATACCATGAGGGTTCTTTTTTCTTCTGTATAGCAATTAAATGTTCTCTTGTTTAGATGCATAACTCCTTTTCACAACTTAGTTTCCAATTTTTGCACTGAATTCTGTTTTCAATTTGACTGTTCCAGTCCAACTGTATTGATGCTGTAAGCATGCTGGCACATTTAACTATGATTTTTATTTACTTTATTGCTTGTATCTGATAGGTTGGTTTTGATAATGATTCAATTTGCTTAGAGAGGCTATATATTTCAATCAGCATACACTCTATGGTATGTGGATTGACTTTAGTAGGTAGGCTACAATGTACTGAAACAAAAAGGTAGGCAGGTTGCTTGGGATGGGGTGGATGGATACTAGGTTTTTATGAAAGTAAGAAAAAGATTACCTTAGTCTATGTATTGCACTTGTCTGGAAACCACAAGTACCACATCTACTGCATCATAAATGAGGGTGGAGCATTAAGGTCCATCCCACTTCCTTCCCCAACAACCATTTCATTGGGAAGGAGAAATGTTAGAGACAAAATTGTAGGAATAACTTTCTGTTCTATATCCTGGTAATTTAGTCCTTTTCTGCAGGTTTATAGAAAATGTTTCTGGACTAAAGTTATAGAAGGAAAGAGGAATGTAATTTCAAATCAACTTTGACATGGTGCTCAGAATGTGTGATGTGCTAAACTTGAATGTAAAAGCTGGTTGCAATATTGATTGAATTCTCCTTTTTAGATTAATGATCTGGTGGTGGTTTTTCCCTCTTTCCAATTGTAGGTTGTTATTTACATACATGATATCCTGGTTCCAAATTGGCATTAAAAATTTTCAAGGCTATTATAGACTTTTTGCTTTGAGGGGAGGGGAGTGGGAGGTGCCGATATTTCAACCAATTAGATTAAGTTGTTGGGCCAACAAAATAATATGATTGGTTATAATAATTTTCCCTCCCCTGCCCTAAAACCAAACAGGCTATTAGGTTTGATGTGGGACCATTACTGGCAAAAGTCTTGATTGAGAGGCATAGGGAGTTTCTTGATGCAAGCTATATATCTAGGTTGGAAGTAATGAGAGCAGAGTCTGTAGAATGATAATGTTAAGTGCAATCACATGCTTCTCTACACATCTGTAGTGAAAATTTACTTTGACACTAACCTATTTTTGAATGCAAAAATGGATCTGTTGCCATATTCTCTGCCTTTAAAATTTTTGTTGAAACTTGTGTCGCTTGTTAATTCAAATGTGCATACATGCATACATGTATATATTTGGTTTGGTGCAAGTCATTATCAAAGTTCAATTTTTTGGCTCATTTTTTTTTTTTCAGTAAAAAGAATGAAAAGACTCACCTTTGGTTCACTGCATGGCAAGCAATATTGTATTACCTGATGTTGTATTGTTTGATTTAATGTTCCCTCTCTCACTGACAAGATTTTTTTTTTTTGGCAGTGATAAGGCATACTTTGTGGATCTCTTTGTGCGAGCTTCAAACACACCAGCCATAAAGATGTATGAAAAGGTCACAGTCCTATCACTTTTCTTTTTAATCTGGATATTCTTTCTGTTTTATTATTTTTTCCTTTTTCATCCATTCATTTTTGTAAAACAGTGACATGCATTCAAAGATGTACTGTTTTACTGTTGTCTAGATGAGATGACCTTAAATTTTGGAATTCGTTTGTCTTTTTTTTCTCTGTGGTTTCATTTGTGAAACAGTCTTAAACTTTGGCATTAGAAATAGCTTAAAAGTTAGACCATAGTCTCTGAGAAGTTAACCATGGCCATCTAATCTATTGGACAGATATAATAGCCATATAAACAGAACTTTGACCAGGAAGTGCTGGTTAAAGAGTTAAAATGTACTCCTTTAATACTTAATTGAGGCCTATAACTATGCACTGCTTCAAATGTTCATTCTCCCAGCAAACTACCTCCTTATTGTTGCTCTTGGCCATCTTAATTCATTCTCTAAGCAAACTACCCCCTCCTCCCTCTCTTTTCCTATTTTTTTGTCTGTCATGTAAGTGGAACAGAAAATACTCAATTCTACATTCTATTTTTTAATTCTGCAGCTGGGGTATGTAATATACAGAAGAGTGCTACGGTATTACTCAGGCGAGGAAGACGGATTAGGTGAGAAGATTTTCTTGTCACTCTGAAACTATCTTTGTGGCTTCTCATATTAACTCTAACCTTTCGTTTTGTGGTCTATTTCAGATATGAGGAAAGCATTATCTAGGGACGTTGAAAAGAAGTCAATCATCCCCCTCAAACGGCCCGTTACACCTGATGAATTGGAGTATGACTAGATGTGCTGTGCATGGAATTCCTGCCAACTATTTTGACAATAATGCATCGAGATACAGCGGTTACATCTTCTTGAGACATGGTGTAAAACATCAGGCATGTCAAATTTAATCTTAACTAGAAATTCTACAAGTGTTGGAGAGTTGGTTTTCAAGGCCAGCATTTTTTTTTTTCATTTTGTGGAACCTACTTTTCTGAGTCTTGTATTTATCCATTTTAGTATGGGTCTTTCATGCAAACCATTATGCCACGTGAGTTGAACACTAATAAGTTGTCCCAGGATTTTTGGAGAAACAGAAGACATATAACTGTTATGTTATACTTTTTCTGAAAACGTGTAAATTGTTTCTCCTACCTTTTATTCTTGTGGTGTTGATTTTTAGTTTTTTACTATAGAAAATCCTGAAAGAAGAAAACAGGACTGTTTATGGAGGGATGACACCCAACTCTGAATTATAATCTGGCTTTTTGTGATGCTGATTCTGATTGGAAAGCAAGGTGGCCCCGGAAGAAGCTCACTGTCACTGGGAAAAAATCCCAAGCCATCATCACATGATAAGAAGACTTTATATTAAGAATAAAATGTAGAGCAGATCTTTCTCCCAAAAATTTTTTTGGACACTTTTAGAAGTTTACATTTCAATTAATATTTTTAAAAATTAATTATTGAATTGAAAGTTTTATTTATGTAAATTATACATATTAATTTTCATATTAATTAAACAATTATAATTTTTTAATCAAAGAAACTTTATTTATTGAATATTTAATGGTATTAAATATCTTGTAATTAATGAAATGATTAAGTCTCCTAGAATAATTTGAAAATTAATATTCATGATTTATATAAATATAATTTTTAATTTGATAGTTGATTTTTAAAAATATTAATTACAAAATTAGCTTTTAGAGAGGCCATTTGAATAAAAAAAAAAAAAATGAGACAACAGCCTGAAAAACACTTTTCTCTTATATTCATGTAATGTAAGTTTTCTGAACTTCATCAAGCAGCCTGATGGCCGCATGCCTCATTGAGGTCGGTGGGCTGTTCACCAGATCTGAGAATCGAATTCTCAGTTACTAACATCTAACAATACTAACCTATTAACCATTGTCCTTATAAAAAAAAAAAATGTAAGCTTTCCATTGAGGTTTAAAAGCACTGAAAAGGCCAACAACATTTTTTTTTTATGGCATAAATTAATTGGGTGAAACATTATAATTTATAAAGGAGAGAAAAATGGGAATGAGGGTTTGAAACTGAACCATATGAGTGAAAATGACAATTTTAGCTTTTATTTTTCTCTGATATTATTCTTAACCCATTAAATTTTTCTTTTAAAATTTTTCTTCCTATACATTTGAAGAAAAAAAATTTTCTCACGACTTTGGCTATCTGAAACTCACCTAACAAATTCTTACATATTTTATGTTATTTTTTTAATTAAATACAAAAAAATTAACAGTTTGATAAAATTTTATTAAAATTTTACCATAAAATTTATCAAATTTTGATATAATATTTTTTCGATTACTTTTCTGATAAAAACTTACCAGTAAAATTAATTTTAACCAAATATGCCCTACAGCGAATCATACACTTAAGCAGCTGTACGTGGCAAAATTTCCACGTCATTATACACAAGCTCGGAATCGAGGTTGGGCCTATAAGCAATCGTTCGTACGCATAATACATGATATGATATTAAACTAAGTAAATATATATAATATTAGATATGATTTGCACTTAGCCTTAGAGACCTTAGCCAGCTGATGCACTCCCCTCTTCTTTTGGATGGGGTTTTTTTGCCAAAATGTTCAAAAAAATATATGTTAGATATGATTTTTTTTATTATTTTAAATTATAAAATAAAAATAATTCTTTCACATCTTTTAATTTATTTTATTTATATATTATGTAATTTAAATATAAAATCTTTTATTTTTATTAAAAAAAATTATCATTGAACTATTTAAATTGTTGTCATCAAGTATGACTTTTAACTAAAAAGATTTAATCACAAAATTACATGTCATAACTATACATGAATATTATACTTAAAAAATTATACACCTTGTTTTTTCTTGAAAATATGTTGGTTGTGCCTAAAGTTATTAACAAGTCAAGTTGAGTTAAATACCAAGACACTTATACTCACACTCATCTTAAAATTTTAAACTCAAGTTGAGATCAAAATAATTAAACTTGTGCTCAAACTTGTGAGTATTCAAGTGAGTTCAAACTTACTCACAAACTTGAATTAAAGAATATTTTAACTTAAATTAAAGTTTTTTCTTGTAAATTCAAGATTTTTTAGTAACTAATTATTTAACCATAATTTTTTTTTACATTTTAAAAAAGTATTGTAGAACTAAAAGTTTAAACATATTAAGTCCAACCATAAACTCCATTTGAATATTTTTATTAATAGCTATAATTCAAAACAAATAAATTTTTTAAGTTTACTTTTCAGCATTGTTAAGGTTTTAAGTTATTATATTATTTAAATTTAATAAATAGATATATGATATAAATTTTAATTCTAAACCAAATTCTTGCAAATAGCTCATAAGTAATCATGGAAGCTTGGGTTCAAACTCCTTTTTATATTGAGCTTAATATTAAACTCAAACTCAAGTTCTTTATCAAATGAGTTGAGTTCTAGTCGAGCTTAACTCAAATAACTTACAAGTTATTCATAAACTACTCTACTCATTAACAACCTTAGTTGTGCCAAATGTTATAACTTCTAAAAATTTATAATGAAAATAATATAATTACAATATCGTATATTGTAAACTTACAATATTATGTGTTTTAAAACAACCCTCCCTCTCCCACTTAAACGGCCCACTCTACAAGCACAAGATCCACCCATAGTACTATTATGCCACTTAAATAGCCTAATCTACAAGCTAACTATTGGTTGTGATGGTGTCATTGGCCTAACAACACTTTGGGTCACAATCCAAGGACCCCAGAAACTCAAGTTTAAATTGTTAGTAGTGGTGGGTTATCATACTTATATACCAGGTTTATTCACAAATTTTTATCGATGTGGGATTTTGGGTGTTCCAACACTCATTTAATGATATGTTATGATTGTAAATTTATAATTTATGTGACATTATAACTATAACATCAGTGAATTTAAAATGGGTTCCAAATAGAGGTGAACATTTTTTTATATAACTTGAGTATGAGCTATATTTAATACTCAACTTGAAATTTTCAAGTATAACTTTTTAGACTTAATACTTACATAAATACTTAAACACCTATACTTGGTACCTAACCTAACAAGTATTAAGTAACTTGTAGGTATATACTTATGTACTTGGCTTAGAGAAGAAGAGACATTTTACTAGTTGCAATTGCTACATGGATCATGTGTTTGGCTTAAAATTTATTATTTAAATGGGTTATTATTACAGTGTGTGATTTTTTTGACTTTGGGTTTATTTTTGTATTTTATTATTTTTATTTTTAAAAATTATTATTATTATATAAATATAAAGTATAATAGATATAGGTAAGATTTCAATTATACAATTACAATTAGTAGGTCAGTTAAACAAGTCAATTAAACAGGTCAAATAAACAATTCTAAAATCTTATATTTGCTTCCTACTTAATACTTATAAGTATACTATTTTCATATTCATTACTTATTCTTTTTTTTTTATTTTTTTGCAACTCATGTATGATACTCATTCAAATAGATAAAATATTTATGAGTAATGGATATATCCATAACCAATACTCACCCTTAGTTTCAAATTAAACTTTTAGGCCCAACCTCACTCCGGACTCAAAATTGTGCCAAAGGATTGGTCCATAAAATACTAATGTTTAGAAGACCATGGCTCAACAACCCAATTCTATTAATGTCGAACTGTGGCCCATCATGGTTGTGAGACATATATATAAATACCCAAGAGCTAGTAATTTCCTAGAAAGAGAGAGAAAAATGGTTTCACTGCGGTTTCCATTCTCGTTTTCTCAACCAGCAGGCGGTCCTCGGATTCCCCGCCACCGGCGGAGCTCTAATGGTCATTTCTTCGCCGCATTTTCAGCCGCAGCAGCAGCTGCTGGAGCTGCCACTCTCGTCGGCGTCGCAGCCGTCTCTCAGAACCCGAAGCATCCACTCATCCAAAACGCATTGAATTCGTTCTTCTTCAATCACTCTTTTCTTTCCCCGTTTGGCTCACTCTCTCTAGCTGACAGCTCTGCTGCCGTCGTCGAAACCAAGACTAGGGTTTCATTTCCTTCCATTCTCGGCGATTCTCTGCGCCTCCTTGGAGTTGGGTTGAGGAAAAAAAGGATCTTGGGGTTGAAGAACATCGATGTCTATGCATATGGTATCACTTTTTCCTTTTCCCCTTTCAAAATTTTCTGTTTCTTAGTTAATTTTCTGAAATTGCATATTGCATTGCTTAATGTAATAGAAATTAGAAACATTTATAGCTTTTTTTTCTTGAACAGGTGTTTATGCTAATGGGGATGAAGTAAAAAAGTTTTTAAGTGAGAAATATGGAAACCTATCTGTATCTGAAATTAAAGATAGGAAGGATTTACATGATGATCTCATGGAAGCTGACATAGCCATGACTATTAGACTACAAATTGTCTATGGTAAATTGAGCATCAGGTCCGTGCGTAGTGCTTTTGAAGAGTCTGTTGGGAGCAGACTTCAGAAGTTTGATGGATCAAATAACAAAGAACTACTTCAAAGGTGAATTGTAATTGAACTTATATTTTTATATATACTTACCTGATTGGCTTTTTTGGATTTTGTGTTAGTTTTATTGAATACTTTAAATAACATCAGTTTAAACTGCAATGTCCTTGGATGTATGTTCTTCTTTTATGCTGTGTTACTTTGAAGAATATCTTCTGCAGATGTAAAATGTTAGATTTGCTTCTTCACCTGTCATTTTCTTGATGTTAATTTATGTCACAAACACTTCAATTGCAGGTTCACTTCACAATTCAAAGACGAGTATAAAATACCGAAAGGATCGGTAATTGATCTCTCTAGGGAACGGGGCTATATACTTCGCACAACAAGTAAGACATTTTTACCCTGTTTATAATTGTTTGAAAATGATAGAAGTAATCTCTTGACTTCTTGTTCATTTTGAATTGGCATTCTCTTTGCTTCAGCTAACACGCTAAGTTTCAATGTTGTAGTTTGAGCTATTACTTTATTGTATCTCTTACACAACTGCAATGTGTTTCTGACTTCATAATCAAGGATTAATAAATTCCTTAAGGACCAAAGTGGCTTCTTATTAGCCTTCCTTCTGAGTTTCTAGAAACAATCTAAGTGGGGTAGTTTAAGTCCAGATATCATCAAATGGATTTATGAGCAAGAGTGAGCTCATGAAATGGAACTCCAAAATGATAATGTCTAGTGAACAAAAATGCCAGGTAAATTTTAGAGGTTTAATGATACTATTACAAAGCAAAAGATGCAAAAAGACATTGATGAAGAAGAATAAATCAATTGAAGTTGCCATGGAATTTTTTTTAATCAAAAAGTTTATGTATATGAAAGCACACAAGAGAGAGAAGCCAAATCATCGCAAGTGGCTGGAGAAAATGGCTCGGATAAAACTAGGGCTACCATCAGTAAGGATATGTTGATGCAAGTCATAGTTCTCATGATGATTTAATTTTCAGTTGATTCTAACTCTTCTTGTTTTCTTTTCAACCTTGGTTTTTTCTTCATGTTTAAACCCTAATATTGAGTTGAAATATATATATCAAACACCAAATCTATATTTACCAAGAAAAAGCCCAAATCTATGAGATTTTGGTTTCTTTTACTGCTCTATCCAAATTTCCAACTTTAATAGTTTCTGTCCATTTATTTTCCCTTTGTCTCCCAACTGCATTAATTTGCATTCAAATTTCCCAAGATCCAACTCTTTATTGGTCTTTATTTCACATCGACGTGATGAATCTTGAAGTTGTGATGGCATAAATAATATTATTTAAAGCCCTCAAACTTAGGATATATTAGTTTTAGCCTCCTTTAATAAATCAGATACAAATTTAAAGTGCATTATACTTGTACACATAAGCCTAGAGTTGAGGTTGAACCTATAAGCACTCATTCTTATATAAAATGTATGATGTGAAATTTTACGAGTAAATACATGCAATATTAGGCGTGACCCCAAATGAAAAAGGGTAATCACAAAATGACATGTCATATGATACATAAACTTTGTACTTGAAACAATATTATACACTTAGCATTTTCTTAAAAATATGTTGGTCATCCCTGATGCAATTTCGATAAAAATTTTCGAGCATACACTACAATAACCAGACATATAAGAAGTTACAATTTATTTGATGTCACAATCTGGAAAATGCAATGCCCTTCTGCATGTGCCTATTTTTTTTATTTGGCAAACTTCTGTGTCTGCCTGCTGGAGTGCCGCCAATCAATGACTAAAAGCATGAAAACTGCCCTTTTTTAGCTTAGCATTGGAAACTGGCAATTACTCTTCAGGCTAGGCTCTTTTTTTGGCCATAGGGGAAGGTCTAATTCTTGGGAGGTTATGGATGGTTGGATATTGTCATCTATGCAAAATTTTATTTCATGCATGACTTCTTTCAGGCTATATTAATCACTACATTAAATGCTAATTTCACCCTTTTGTAATCTTAACTGTGTAGTTGACGGCAAGGAGGTGGGGAGTATTCAAAGCAAGCTCCTTTGTAAGTCAATTTTGGACTTATACATTGGTGAGGATCCGTTTGATAGACAAGCCAAAGAAGATGTGAAGGTCAATGCAGCATCCCTCCTTGAGAAATAGAGAAGTCACAAGTGGCCATCTAAATTCCCCCAAAGCTTTAGTCTCCATGTCCCCCAGCATGTTTTCTTCTGATCATATCAAATTTCCTAGAGCTTGTTGCAGCTATGCCTTTTATATACTTAAAAAGTTAAAATCTTCCAGGCTAGACTGATTTTTTGGAATCTAAAAAACTTGATGAGAATGATATGATGCTCTGGTGCATTATGATGAAAGAGCAAATGCACTACTTTGTTTACCGAGCGTGTACTAAGCCACTTGGGTTGGATAGTTGTCTGCTCGACTCTTCTTCAAGTTCTTGGTGTGATGCACTCCTTAGCATGATATGTAGCCTCTCTAATACTAAATTGTTGCAGGTTGGATCTTAACCTAGAAAACTGGCCTATCGGGTGAGCATACATGTAAACTTTTTATATTCGGCTTAATATATCTCCTTTTCTGTCAATCTGTTTAGTCGGAGCTCCTAATGTACGTGCCTTGTCTAATTTTGTTCTGAGCTGTGGTGTTATGTAGCTTTGAACACAGACATGTCAAGAAAAGGTCAAACCTTCTGTTAATTTTGAAAGGATGAAACAAACAGTTTTTGGTTTCTTGAGCAAATCGGAATAGTGAGACTGGTATGGAATAGGAAGTATCTTCTCGGAATCATTTCAGTCTCTTTCACCCAGAACTTGTCCATATTGTAAGATATCAGAATCCATTTTAATATGATAGACATAGCATTCGAGAATTTCAACCCTGCAGACGACATGCGTTGGTTTTTAGTGCGTAGAGAGGAAGGAATTCATTGATTGATACCAAATCCATCCATCATACGCAACAAGAGGCGATAAGGCACAAAAGAACGCCGAGATGGCCGCCAATATGATTCAATTGCTTATGGTTTCCACCTTTTCTTTTAGATTTTCTTCTCTCTACCTCCTAAAGTCGCGATGGGCCCTACGACCCTTCAATGACAATGGAGAGAACATGGAAATATGAAGATCAATTCCAACTAAAATAATAAAATTAGGAACATTGCTTTCTACGGAAATGATTATACTATTTACACATCAGCATCAATTTAAGACCAATCAAATTAATTTGACCCGGTTGAATTCCTACTACATCTAGACTGCTAACTATGACCCCAAAATGTGGTTAATGTTAGGATCAGTTCTGCCTTGCCTGAGTAAGACTGGCTAGCACGAAAATGTTATCAACCACTAGCTGCACTTCATGCCTCTGTTGAAGGTGCCAGTTATAATAAAAATAACTAGTTCCTATGCAAAAGCACCCACAAGCTTGTCTACCTTGGAAGTGATGAGTCAGAAAGCTTCTGCATTTAGATTTGCAGCAGAATCTCAATACCTGAGTTCAGAGAGATGGCTGGGACATTTGCTCAATATAGAAGGCACATTCCTACCGCACACTGGTGAGGATTTCTGGCCAGTCCCGTTAGAAGAATTCTCACTCTGCTGTGATTGTAGTGTGGGAATTGATGAACCACCTTTGCTACCTGTTGAACTTGTTCTCAAGCTGCCACCACTGGATGGAGAACTTACTGTCAAAGGAGATGCAACATGACTACTAGTGGTCACTTCTGGTGATATAGCTGACTTGGGATTTCCCCCAAAAGATATCTGTATTTGGCCATGTTGAGACTGTTGGGGAAGATTCTTGTGGGTGGCAAATTTTGTAGCTGAATGTGATGTAGGAAGGATTAAGCAAGCTTGGGTTGGTTGAGTGGAACTGTTGCATTGGACCAGAGCTTGCGGGAATATAGCATCATTGTTAGAAAGCTTGGCAGCTATGGAAGATGCAGGTATGCTGTTAGCTGTCTGAGCCTTACTATGAGCTGCCGCAACAGGTTGCTGCTGATGCTGTGGATGGGAATTTGATGAATTAATAATCACATGAGGATTTAAAGTTGCTGCAGTTGAGGAGATGGTGTGAGGAGACCAATTTCCAATGATAGTAGAAGGCACAAAATTCAGGGTTCTTGCTGAATTGTGAAAAAAGGCTGTCTGCCCATTCATTGCTTGTGGCTTACCCAGAGCAGCCTTTTTTCCATCAAGAATGGTTGAACCAGTCCCATTATTCACATCAGATATCTGGATATTCTTCTGCTCTGTGCCATTTGGTACTGGTGCAATCTGATACTGCTGCTTAGCCCTGTCAGGGAAGCTGTGGAAGACTGCAGGATTCTGTGCCACAGATGAAAAGTTGAACTTAGAAGTCATGCTATTTCCAGGGAAGGAGGCAAATGACATGGCCAATGCTTGGTAAGGGATTATTTCAACTCCACCCTTCAAACTCTTATGCTGCGATTGCTCCTGCTTTTCATTGAGATTTCCACTGCCACTGCCACTGCCACTGCCACTGCCACTGCCACTGCCACTGCCACTGTTGCCACCTACTTTTGTCGAAGGCACCAATTCAAAGTTTGGTGGTTGAGGAGGATGATTTGAGTTGTGACCATAAACACTTTTCTGCATGTGTGAGGTTCGGCTACCAGCAACAAAGGCTGTATTCTCCCCACTCATCTCAGCCTCAAGTTTGCGAGACTGAATGGATGGTAGCATTTGATAGTTCTGTAGTTGTTGTGGATTCATACTTCTTGGGATCAAAAACTTTTCACCACTAGCTTGTGCACCCCTCCGTTGATTTTTTTCTTGTTGCTTGAGTGATGATGATGAGCCACTTGATGCACTTGCATTCTGATAAGTGGATTGAACCAAAGGCTGAGAATGAGCTTGCTGCTGTTGAAGTTGAGAATGAAATAGTTGAGATGAATAGAAGGGCCCACTTAAGAAAGGGAAAGCCTGAGCAGGGGCTCCCCCTCTAGTAACTGATGGGTTTCCTAGAGTAGACATGGCAAAAGTGTATCCATTATTTTGTAGCATGGTCAAGTATGGAGCTTCTTTGGAACCCAAATTTGGGTAATTAACGCTCACAGCTGCAGCTACTCCTGGCAATGCAGAACCTGCTGATATTCCAGTTGATAATGACGCCTTGTTAGTTGAGGTTGCACATTTTGAAGACCCAGATGGATTTGCTGTTGTCATTGTTCGATGCTGGCTCAGAGGGAATATATAAGCAGGTCCATGCTGCAATATAAAATGAAAAGGACAGTCACGTAAGCAAAGCAAACTGCAGAAATAAATTAAGGAGAAAATGGAACGAGGGAAAATATTCAGCATTGTGAACCAAATGGTTTTTTTAATGACTTAAAGACATGAGTACAGACCCTACCATTAAGTTACCAGATGAGGCTGGTTGCGAAGCCTGCTGACTCAAAATCTGCCTTCTCTGTGCTGTGTCAATGACATTGGTGCTCTCAGAGCTTTTATCTTTCCTAGTAAGACCAGCAAAGTTTGCAACAACTTGACTTTTCTCCTCTGTTGCGTTTAGATTAAGAACAGGAAAGCTTCCTTGTAATGGATTTCCCATAATGAAGTTTTCTGTCGATGGCAAGATATTGCATACGCTAGCAGAACCAGATGTTGCTGGCCAAAAGGGATTCGTCTTTGCCAATTGCTGGTGTAAATGAATGTTGCGAGCAATATAATGGTGGGTGGCACATCTCTTTGGACGAGGCTGTGGAGGAAGGAAATGAGACTGCAAATTTCCAAAAAAAAAAAAAAATGCAAATCAAACTCAGGATCAAGGAAAAAGAGAACCAAAGCATTAACAATCAAGACTCAAGATGATGTAGAGATATCTGGCCCGGTAAGACAAATTGATGCACATACCTGCAGTACCGTGGATGGGGATGCTCCAGCACTCCCATTTGGTGCAACTGTCGGAAAGGGAAGGCTGTAACTGCTGATAAAAACAAGTTACTTGTTACAAATGAGGCAACCGTATATTGCATGAATATTTGAATATTTAACAAAATATTAAAAAAAGAAAAAAAAGAGAGGAAGTTGAATTATAGTAGGAACAGAGATCGCTCACCTCGGAGGTGGAAGACCATTTGGCCAGCCAGCTAGGGCAATTGGCATGGGTACAGAACTAGATTGAACTAGAGAAGTGAAGGAAAATAGTCATCAACATGACAATGAGTAACCAAGCGTTAATCATCATGAAACTGATATATATTAGATTACCAGTTTTCTCCATTTTGGGAATGCTAGCTTTGGGAAGCTGTTGCTTTTGATCATGTTGTTCTAATTGATTAGACTTCTCCAAATCAAGCTTCAACGTTTCCCTCTTTTCACTAATTGTGATCGTCTTTTCAGCTTTTTCTAGTCCCACTTCTTTCTTCACAGCTTTATTCCCGTACTTCACCAAAGCTTCCATCTTTTGTGTCAAAAAGAGAATGAAAAAACAGAAGATTAATCAAAATAACAAAAACAATACGGGGGAAAAGCAGCATGATTAAGGCCCAAGGGCACTTATCTTTTCAGTGGATTGAATCAAAATACCAAAAACAGCACTGGGGAAATCAGCATGATTAAGGGCACTTACCTTTTCAGTGTCCTGTGTTTTTTCTTTGGAATGAAATTCCAAATCAGTCAAGCCATCCTTTTCAGGAGATGATTGCATAGGAGGAGGCGCCTGTTCAAGAAATCATTACTCAACTTCACTAATTTGAACAGCAAAAGAAGAAATCCAACTGTAACGCAACAATTAGCAAGGGTCCTCACCATTAAATCAATCTTAAACTTCTCTTCACGTTGGCTCTTCACTTCTGAGACCGTCAATGTTCTGTGATATCACCAAAAAGAAAAAAAAAAATAAAAAAAAAATCAGATATCTAACAAGAATCCATTCAGAAAAAAAGACAGAGAAAAAGATTCTTTGATGCTCACGCTTTTGTCACTGTCGAATCACTATCCAATTTAGTACATTCTTCTTTAGTCGAACCAGATTTTTCCTTGGTCTCAGGGCTACCTACGCAATTTGGTTCTTCAAGAGATGATCTCGAATCTCCCTGATTTATCATTGAGTTCTCCCGTGATTCCAATGACACAGATGCAGTTTTATGAGCATCCTTATCTTTATCATGTGATGCTTTCCCTGATTTAGGAGAAGAAATTCCTGATGAAGAATTCTCGGCAACCAAAGGCACATGAACCAGAGGTGCAGAATTCTCAGCTTCCACTTTCTTCTTCTCTTGAGCTGCAAGTGCCACCATGAAATAAAAAATTAGAACATGAATTTTCTCAGCAAGAAGAAACAATCAAATATATCATTCACCGATTGAAATGGTCAGAATATCCACCTACACCAATCAAGGAATCAGATGCAGGGCTTGTTACCAACTGCTCGTTACCATGAGATTTAGCATTTCCATCGTTAGATTCAAGCTTTTGCAATGAATTTCCGATGCTGTTCTCCTCCTTGCAGCCCTGTGTTTGTTTCAATCCGAACAACACTTCAGCGATCTCGATCTCAATACCCTCCTCCTCTACTGAGCTAGATGGCTTGGATACCTTTCGAAACCAAGTCTTGAGTGCATTTGGTTTCTGCAGCAACAAAAGTCAAAGATTGCGATGTCTTCCAAAAATAAAATAACCATAATATCAAAAATAGCCTCAAAATTCAATAGCTAACCATCTTCTTCCTAACGGAGACATTTGAAGGCGACGGTGAAGATAGCTCTGAGTCCGCGCTCTGCCTCGCTGGTGAGGTTGAAGGTCGCCGGTGATTTTGGTCCTCCCTAAAACCACCATTTCCGTTCATCAAATATTCATGCGACCTTTTCACAGAAGCTTCAGACAACATAAGCCAAGAAAAACCATATCAGTAACTCGAAATCATTTTCCGTGTTTTCTTGCTAATAAAACAACATTCTATACCTGAGCGAGCCTTTCTCGGGACTGAAACAGCAATAATCTCATCCGGTGCCTTCAACGCCGGATCCTGCCTCAAAACTCTCGCCGGCGGCGATATTTTGCGGTTACTGTGCTCGGATTCGTAGTCATCTTCTTCACCTGAACTCTCCTCTGAACTTTCCTCTCCTTCTCTGTTACTCCTTCTCAAAGGTTTATCTCGTCTCCTCCGCTTATTCCGTTTCAGCAAATTCCGGTCCCTCTTTCTCGTTCGGTCTCTTAACCTGACTTTTTCTTGCATCTCCTTCTCCCCATCTGCAGAAAAAGGAAAAACGGTCACTCTACGAGACAACAGACTGAATAAACATCAACAAAATATAAGGATAGAGTTCAAACCAGGAGAATCTCGGAGACTACTGCTTCTCTGTCGCCGTCTCCGCAATCCATTTGTCGACCCAGTAACCTTCAATCTTCTTGCCTCTCTGCTTCTTTCCATGAGCACTTTTCCGCTACTACAACGTCAATTTGAACTCAATCCCCGACTAAATCTCAACATTATGCAATATTCCGGCGATACTACACCACGGGCAATCAATTCGCCATAGTTTCCGGCGAAAAGAACCTTCAAATAGCTTACTCAGAGGCAAAGAACCAAACAGTGAGCCACAAATTCCAAGAAGAAGAAAGTAGGATTGCGAAATTTTGCTCTCTGCCTCTCTCCGACCTTCGCTTCTTCACCTGGATATTTGGTTTTTGTTTTGTTTTGTTTTGTGCCTCAGAGTCGCATCTTTTTTAAAGTTGATCAACTCACGGGGAACTTTCTCCGTAGACTTCATCTCAACCGTAGGTTTGTGTTTGATCCAACGGATGATATTGAAAGTCACCGACGTGGCAGGATGATCAGATGCTAAAATGAAATAAAACCAATCCCACTGATCCAGCCACGTGTCACGCTTTATATCCTGGCTTTTCACTTGCTCACGCAGGCCAAGCGCGTGGATTTTTGTACATTTTTCTTGTGGACCCCAGGTAGAAAAAGCACACTTGTCGGTAACATATTCGCCGTCGCAACAATGAGAATAGTCACGTGACACTTTCGGGCGGATTCGAAATTACCGCTCCAGCTCCAGCCGGGTCCCATTTTGTGGGACCCGATCCACTGCAAAAACCGACAGAACTGCCTTAATCCGACGTGGCTCAAAAAAAAGTCCGATATGGCATCTCCCAGCCAACCTCACGAAATCGGACGGTCTGTGATATTTTCAAAGGCGCCATATAGGAATAATATTTTTATAATATTTTAATATAATTTTTATACATTATTAAATAAATAAATATATTTAATATTATAATGTTAAATAAATTAAAAAATTAATTATTTAAATTTTTATTTTTTTTTGAACATATTTGCAAGGGGCGGGTTTTGAATCTAACCCGAGAGGGGAGAATGCATCGAGGTGGCTATTGTGCGATCCAGGTGCAATTAATTATTTAAATAATATATAAAATTATATAAAAAATTATTTATAAATTATTTTTTTATTCTTAATAGATATAAACAGTGACATGTCATGGGATTGAAGTTGAGAGGATGGTGGGACCATGGTAGCCGTGATCTGTTAGGTTACAACGCTGACCTGGACTGATCTTTGTCTTTTCTTTAGCCAAAAGTTGAATTCACCGCTCAATAAATACGGTCTTAATTTTAGGGTAGTACTAGTACGCAAAGTAATTAATCTGCAAAGGAGACGTTGGGTGCACTTTTTTAAGATGATTCAAGTAGAAATTAATTTTAAGATAAAATATTTTATAAGTTGCTTTTTAAAATTTGTATAAGAAAAAATATTTAAAATAGTTAAAATCTAGTTAATTACATTGATATAATTTATATAAATAAAATTGTTAATATAATGATTATTTTCTTATAAAATTAATTAAAAATAAATTTTTAATCAAAATTTTCAAAAATAATTTTTAAAAAATAATTTATGTTATATTATTTTTTTAAATTTTAAATACACAAAAATTAATTAAAAATACTAGAAAAAAAAAAAGGAGGCGGAGGAGTTTAAAATGGGGAAACGTGAATCCGATGTGGCAAGTTAACCGCTTACAAGTTACTTCCATTATGGCGGGAAATGTGGAACTGGGATGTCCACGTGTTAGAAAGGGCTGGTACAGTGGTAGGTGCCTCGGATCTCGTTATTGTCATTGCCACACCACGCCGATCACCTTTACAGTACCTGTTTTTTTGGGTAGGACACTTACAGTACACGGAAATTCTTGTTTTATTATTATTTTATTATTTTTTATTTTTGTCCTTGGTTAAATTATTTTTCTTTGTTACATAAAGTATTCTTTAAATAATATAATTAATAAACATTTTAATTATTAAATTATACAAAAAATAAAATAAAATTTTAATTTTAATAACTAATTAATTAATTAATTAATTAAATTAATACCCATAGCATTAATATTAAAATTAATATTAATTTTTTTAGTTTTTATATGACATAATTATTAAAAAATATATTAAATATAAGTTTAATTTGTATCCTATACTCACATGTTAGAAAACTTTTTAAATAAAATAGTAATTAATAATATGTTAATTATACTAGTTAATTACAATATAACTTTATGTGTGATTACTAAGGGAGTATCATATTTTGAAGGGTTAAATTTAACTTTTCATCTACTAACTTATTATTTTATTTTCATTTTAGTTTAAATAGTTTGATTTCTTTTAAATTCATCTATAAACTATGAAAATCATTTCAAATTTATCTATCTAGCTAATTTTCGTTAGTTTTTTTAACGAAATCTTATGGCATGATTATGTGACCAGTTACGTGGCATATGTAATTTTGAAAAATTGTACTTCTTTGTTTGTTTTTTTTTTTTTTCATTTGTACATCTTAATAATGTTTTTATTTTTTTCATGATAAGATTTTTTTCTTTCTTTTTTATTTTGTAATAAATCTATATCTTTTAATTTTGATTAACAACTAAAAAATACATCATTGTCATTATTAGAATGAAATTATATCATTTTCTTTTAATGTTAGTGTGGATTAGTTTCAATTTTTTTTAAAAATTAAAGTTTCAACCTATATTCAGAAACTAATTTAAAAACTTAAATTCTAATTCAAAATTAACAATTTAATCAATTTTTAAATCTAAATATCAACATTTAATAAGATAAAATTTTAAATTTTAAATTAAGTTTTAATTAAATAAAATGAAGTAATTTAAAGTTAAAACTTTAATATTTTTTAGGATCAAGATTGATATGCGTTTTTTCTCTTTTCTTATTTAGTTCAAAAAATTAATTTTTATTTGTACTCTCTCTTTCTTAAAATAATTTTTTTTTAAATTAAAAATTTAAAGATAAGTTATGTTTACTTGTATTACCCTTAAAAAGAAAAAAAAAAAAAAAGATGAAGAGTTACATTTTGTGATGAGATGATTAATTAAAGTAAATAGATAATAACAAATATATTTTTTTACTTTAACCTTATTATTCTTTATTTACTTTAATTAATCATCCCATCACAAAATGTATCTCTTCATCTTTTTTTCTTTTTAAGGGTAATACAAATAAACATAAATTACCTTAAATTTTTAATTAATTTTTTTTAAAAAAAATTATTTTGAGAAAGAGAGAGTAAAGATAAAATTAATTTTTTGAACTAAATAGAAAAAAGAAAGGAAAAAATGCATATAAGTTTTGATTGTAGAAAAAAATTAGAGTTTTAACTTTAAATTACGTTATTTTATTTAATGAAAACTCAATTTAAAAATTAAAAGTTTATGTTATTATTAAATGTTGATGTTTAAATTTAGAACTGATTAAATTTTTTAAATTTTAATTGAAATTTTAATTTCTAAATATAGTTTCTAAATATAAGTTGAAATTCTAATTTTTTTTAGGAATCGAAACTAATCTGCACTAACATTAAAAGAAAATGATATAATTTCATTCTAATAAAGACAATGATATCTTTTTTTAGTTGTTAATCAAAATTAAAAGATATAAATTTATTACAAAATTAAAAATAAAAATAAAGAAAAAAATCTCACCACTAAAAAAATGAAAACATTATTAAGATGTACAAATGAAAGAAAAAAAAAAGAAGAAGAAAGAAGTACAATTTTTGAAATTTGCATATGCCACGTAGTTGGTCACATAATCATGCCATAAGATTCTATTAAAAAAACTAACGAAAGTTAGCCAGATAGATGAATTTGAAATGATTTTCATAGTTTATATATGAATTTGAAAGAAATTAAACTATCTAGATTGAAATGAAAATAGAATAATAATTAGTAGATGAAAAGTTAAATTTAGCCTACCTTGAAGTATTGAATTTATTAAGTAGTAAATAGATTTTAAAAGCTAAATTTAAAATAGAGATGCACCTTTAAAATTATTAAAAAAATTTCAGTTTTAAATTTGCATAAACTAA